TATGTTTAAGACGTCGGCAAGCTGCGGTAGCTTGCAAGTATGACGATTCCGAAGGCGCTCATAAGAAATACCCCCATAGGCAGTGCAGACACACGGTACCACTGATCACCCATGACTTGTTTCCGACGGGCGGTCACGTTTGGGTCTTCCCAATGGCGGCTACGCTCAACTGCTTGCTTCCAACGAGAGAACTTCATTTCGCGTTCTTGTCTGAAATAAAGTCGAGTGACAATTTAGTTCAGACCGCTGTATACTCGAGACTTATGTCATATGAAAAGTAGATCACGCATCGAACAATGCCAGGCTTAAAGCTTAGTTTATTTACGCTACTATAAAATTAAGCTTAGCGAACTACACATCAGTGAACATTAATTTCTTAGAATAATGCACCAATAAATATAAAAGCCTACGATGGGTTTATGTATGGGTGCTTTTTCTTTTACTTACTTTACAATTTGAGGCTCAAAGGTATCACTGACGGCCGCAGCAAGTTTTTGCATTTCATCGAGAGACCACACTTCTACGCCTTTTGCTAACCCAGCTGCTACCGCTGCGCCCAAAGCGGTCGTTTCTAGCATCTGTGGTCGGATGACGTTAACTCCAAGAATATTTGCTTGCAGCTGCATCAAGGCATCGTTGTGTGCCATACCCCCATCAACTAAAAGCTGCTTAAGCTCAACCCGCGTGTCAGCATAGACGCAGTCAATAATTTCTTTTACCTATAAACAATTAGGGCAGAGTTAGGTTTCGATGATATACGCTCGCTACAAATTTATTAGACCACATGCGTAAAAAGTCGGCTCAAATAAATGAACGTGTGATCATCTAGTGTACTCTGGATACAAGTAGCAACCTATGATCGCTATATTGCTGTAGTTTCATCCTGGTCTGACACAGTTCGATATTGCTGATACATGAACCTTTTCGTCTGCAGATAACAAAAGCCGAAATTTATCGTTAACGAAATACGATCGAAGAAGCATTATAATCACGTGAACTTCGCAGTAGAATTTCGATAGGATACCTGATAGCAGACACTTTCGAGTGTAGCACGCACGAGATGTTCCTTTGTGGTAAACTGTGTCAATCCACAGATAACACCCCGTGCCGAACTTTCCCAGTATGGAGCATATAAACCACTAAACGCTGGCACGAAGTAAACATCATGGGTTGATTTGACACTCAACGCAAGCCTTTGAACCTGTAGATTCACAAAATGGACATAAAAAAGGCACAGGCTAGCAATTTCAGCCGGTTTATATGCTATAGAATGTTTCATGTCCATTTTACAAAAAAAACATGTTGTCAGAATAAAGGTAAGTGAGGATAAGGAGAATCATCTACGATACATGTGTTTCCACCTAAATCAATGATCGATAAAATCTGTGTTTTAGGACAATATCGTTTATACAGATTTTAACCACCTATCAAGTTAAGGCCTATTACAGTCTTGCTGGTAACTTCGGTGAAGCCACGAATAGTTTAATGTCATCAACTCGCCTCGTCGATACTCTGTACAATGCCAAGGTTGTCCCTGAGCCATCGAACGGCCGATCCCGCAACGGCTACGGAGCCTTCAATTGCATAACACGCTGGACTGGAAGGACCGAGCTTGAAAGCCACTGTAGTCAGTAGGCCATGTGTAGACATTACTCGCTGCAATGAATAATGTCCACGTTAATCATTAGGAGAAAAGAATATTAACGTAGTTACGGGAAACCATCTCGAAAATCCTTTACTTTTCATGTAAACAGGTGTCTGATATACTCTGTATATAGGCTTATTGAAGCTAATCAGTGAAATTTAAATTCTGACTCAGGCAGGGTCAACATCCCAAAACTTTATGGACATACACGCATTAAAGGGAACATACGAATCACTCTAAAATTAAAACAAATAAACAGGACACTCATAAAGCAGTGAAACAACATAAAAGAGAAACTTCAAAGTGACCTCTAGACAATTTACAGCCAAAGATACTTCAAAAGGGACACATGGTATCTCCAATGACCTGAGAGACCGTTAAAGACTTAAAAACGACAAAATTATTGAAACGTCTTAGTAGTGAAACACTAAGTACCGATATTACTCATCGGACTAAAATGAGTCTGTGAAATAAATATGTTACATAGATCTTTATCGCGTTCATTAACCCACAACGCTTCAGTATTTCAATAAGGGGGATTGGATAAACACAAGGAACCGGAAAAACGCTCAAATCTAATATTAGACCGCTATTAGTAGAAACTTCGCACAACTTTCGGCTCAACCTGTAATCTATTATCATAACATTTCCCGGGCATTAAGATGGGTTGACGAAGACGAAGGAGCTCCATCCCAGTTCAAACACGATATCAACAACTAATCATGTAATAATTTCGACTCTCAGTATATGAATTAGATACATACGACCAAATAATTTAGAAACTAAAATCTAATCTGAAAACATTATAGATGTATTATCTCTGCATTAAGACGTACACTTTCAAATCAAACTGTATATATTTCTGTATGAATAGCACGATGAAACGTTCAACTTAGTCAGCTAAGTGTTCAATTCTGTTTAAAGAATACCAGCCCTCAAGTTAAATTAAATTTTCGAGCAATCACAGCAGAGATAAGAGAAGCACACATGTTACTGCTTCTTTAGTTGATCCTTAAGGTTTTGCCACAGTGCACGGCACTATTTCCGCGTGTTCGTGCCCACAATACTGCAGTAAAAGATGACCGAAAGATCGTCATTAGACAATGTAGCAGCAAAAGCAGTAGAGTACAAATAGCGCACATGTAGAATACAAATGTTCCCTGGAACAATGTCGCAGACTTCACTAGTATACTGTACTTTTTCCCATCTCTTCCTGCACAGCGAGTGAAGAACTCCGATGCATGCCATGTCATGCAGGGCAAATAAGTGGTAGACTATAAATCACAGTAAATTGCTTGTTTCTTCCGATATTAAACTGTTTTCATATGCCTTTTAATTCCTTATCCTCAAGAGTGTTCAGACAAGTCATGCTATAGTCGCGTGGCTGATCAAGACGCCGGGAGCACCCCGAAATACAATCGGCTCGAATCAAGAATCCTGTGATTCGTGAACACCCCATGTATGAGATTGAAAGGCGAGTGAGATAAGGTACAATAATTATTGAACCGAACGAATAATCTGAAATGTGCACCGATGTGGTATCCATTACATTGTACCGCTACGCATGCACAATGTAACGCGATGATAGACGCAAAAACCAGCATTGGCAAAAGCAAAAAAAAGTCAATTGCGAACAAATCAACTACAGGCATTCTAATACAACACTGCAATAGGAAACTGTCTATTTTACTCTTTCGTAAAGCAGTAATAACTACACGTTCCATAAATGAAACGCTCAGCAATACTAATGTGGTCGTCTTTAGAATGGATTAGGCAATGTCACAATGATTGGTTATAAAGCAGAGTGTAGCAATATTTGTCTAATATATTAGGAAATAAGCTCACAGGATTAAAAGCTATGTGAGCTATATATACAAAGCACAAAGGTGGATTATGAAAAAATGTCGTGGCCTCATCTATATACAAGACCATGCAAAAGCTCCATTCTGGCAGTTGACAATGACTGAAATGATTTAGTAAATTGATTTTATGCATACCAAAACTAAATGTTTTGGATTTCATGCCTACCACCGCTGTTAGGCATTTCATCAGACGGCTGATCTCCAGCATGACACGAACTGTGTCTATGCCCGGATTCGAACCTGGGTCACGCCGTGTCCCTAATATTAGCAGGCAGAGACGCTACCCACTAAGGTACGACGAAGACGCATTTATGCACACTATCAAAAATTATTACGAATCATTATAAAATAAAAGTAGAGCGACCAAGTCGTTATTATTTTTGCATGGAATTTATATTATAAACAGGGTGAATGGCGTGCCACGTGGCTAGATGAGTTTTAATAAGTATAGTCGTAGTTTTAATAAGCTGTAAGGCAACTTTTACTAAAATTGCGTATCATTAAAGCGTAGTACATTTGGTGTTTCCTTTATGGTTCCAAAATGCTGACAGTAGTACACTAAATAAATATTAAAATAAAACATGCAAAGAGTTTACAGCTAAGCTTAAAATTTTCTACAAATATAAGGCAATACCTCAAAGTACTATTTTTCAGAAAAATTGATTGCTCTAGCTTATTGCTACATATATTCAGAAAAAGGTCAAGTGAGCAAAAAAATTCAACTTACCTCCGAGCCCGTGTTGCATAGCAGGAAGCCGCCAGTCCCGTACCTAAAAAATAACAAAAGAAATTAAACAAAATGTACATAAATCGATTCTGGGAATCTAAGATATGATTATTTATGATATTATGATTATTATTTAAGATATGATTAAGAATATGATTATTTGAATTGAACATAAGTACAAAATAAATGTTTTTAATTTTCAGAGGCCTATCTAAAGAAGAATTATGTTATTTTATAATATTCACGTGCACTTGGTTTCACCGATGTTGAAGCACATATGCCCAACCAGAGCAGCACTTTGATCGCCAAGACATCCCGAGATTGGTACTCCAGCAAATGGTGTCTTTTCACGCAGGGTGCCGTAGATCTTCATCATAGATCAGGAACAGGGAAATTTCCAGCCACCAAAATAACAAATAAACGTAAAACCATTATAGATTTTTTTTATTTAAAGATAAGGCGATATTCTATAATTATGTTTTAAAAGTTGTCCACACAAAAGGCAAAAACAAGGAAGTTGTAATTACGATACAGACAGAACAGAATTTAAAAAAAAATTACTAGCGAATACTCTATCATGCTGCATACCTCGCTGGAAGAAAGAATTTTGGGAAGAATATTTTTTGGAATTTTAAAGAAATTTAGTAGGAACGGATCCCACTCAAGGGTTTCAATATCCATAAGCATTGTGCGTGAAGCGTTTGAAACGTCTGTGACATGCACTCCGCCAATCAGGTTCCACAAAAGCCATGAATCTACAGTTCCTGCAAAATAATAAATGCATTTCGACCTATTAACTACAGACTGCATACTTACAGAATTTCTTGTTTGCTTCATGAGGTCGACAAAATAAAATTCGTCGACGTATAACATGGAACGCCTTATGATATAGCCAATATCCTTCGTCATTAAGCCTAATATAGAGATTAACTTTCCGCATGGAAAACCAGTTTCGACACGGCCAAATCGCGTTTCAATACATACCAAAAATTAAACTTCCTTGTTCAGCTTTTGCACCCAGTTCAGGATGATGGGTGAAAAGCCAGGCGAGTTTAACAGCTGAAAAATATGTTGATAACGGAAGTCCGCATTTGGGTCGTAGGTAGTTTGGATCTCGTTCGGGAACTTTTTCCAGAAGGGCTTCTACTGTATCGACTGTACGGTTGTCGCACCACACTAACAAAACAAACAAATCCATGTTGGAATCTACAGTGAACAATAACTGGTCGACAACTATCCATAGTGTAGGTGTTAAGATGTCACCGGCTGTTATCAATTCACTACTTCTGCTTTGACGCCACAATCGAATGTAGTTCTAGGATTAGCCAGACGTCTTTTCTCTCGTAGCTAAGATGTTACAAATTTGTAAACACCTATACATCAACAATTATCAAAATCTCGAGAATTTGGCCACTGGGCTCAATTCTCGGTATTCAAGAGGGGTGGTTGACCTATTCGAGTTTTTTGACAGTTCTTATTTGGTAGTTTCTTTCCATTTTATCGATATTCACAATTAAATCTTCCATCATTAATCCGGTAAATTAAATGGCTTTCTATTATAAACGACGTGTTTTTCTATGATTATTTAACTAAAGCTCCAATAGGACTTTAGTTAAATAATAATAAATAAAATAAATAATAACGAGGTGGTGTACATTTGTTTGCACTACTCTTAAATAACTCCAATAGAAATGTCAAATTGATAAGTTCGACTATTCCTGGAGGGTAAGGTCACTGGAAATGAAGGGAACCTTTTTTTAGCGCCGCTTACGGGAACCCGTATAACGGCAAATTTTCACTGGAAGCCACTGGAGATTCCTTCCTCTGCGATATTTATCAGCACACCAGCCTAACAACAGAACAGTGTCGATTCAATAGTTTCTTGGCGCTACATAAACAGGAGAAGAGTGTAACCGTCTACAATATCGGAGAAAACAACTAGGTTGCGTCACTTTATAGACTACAGAGAGACTTTTTCGAAAAGAGAAAATAACAAGCAGCGACAGCCGGCGAAAAACGAAGGTTGGCTAAAGTTCGCCATCAACAAAACTTCATGATTGGAGTTTGCTAAACGCAGAGTCCAATAGAAGCACAACGCAAAGCTTCTACGGTTTTCATTTTATACCTGTCAGGGTACTACGTACGCTAGTTCACACAAAAGTGAAATCATTGTCATGCAACTATCTGAAGTAGTTCCACCGTGCTCTCCTATACTGATACGAGCGAATCGAATATAAAATGCAGTTATTAAAATATGTATACATTATTTTCAGGTTATTGATATCATCGTCGCTGACCAACTGGTTGCGGAGTTGATTAGATAGGTGTTAAGCGTCCATTTCGTGGTGAAAGGATAATGTTTCCGATAACAAATAATCTACTTCTTATCAACTGACTTCTATACAGAGTCAACTGTTATCCGCGCAATGCAAGGTACGTCACAAATTTGAACTGTCTTTGATATAATTTTTCTCGAGTTAAAACTTGTAAAAAATGTCGCTGTTCTTAGATATGTCCTATGATATTATACCTTGATACATGCGTTTGCATGATGCATCATGATATTGTACTCACGAATTGCATTGTAGTATGGTTTTCCTGTGTTCTTGTCCCATATAATAGTGGATTCCCTTTGGTTTGTCATTCCAATTGCCACCACATCGTGTGGGTCGATCTGCATTGCAATAAGTTTGCCCCAAACCTCTGTCATGCAGATGGTAACCGTCTGTAAGATGTGCATCGGATCTTCTTCTACCCATCTAAAGCAGCAAAATTGAAAGGTGAAATAATAGGTCGATAGCAACTATGAAGTTTGTATTAAGAAGCAGTGACCAACTCGAACATTCCTATGGGTGACGGACGTTTCTAATATTACCAGGGTATCGGAATTACTTTGAAAACACGCAGTTATCCAGATATAACTGTTGCCGTAAATTTGCGTTTTTTCTCTAATGTCTTGAAAAGATGTGCTCAAAAAATGCGTTTAAGATGTTTAAGTTGTTGCGGCTGCTGCTTAAACCGCCAACCCTCGGTTGAGACCGGAAAGAAACCAGAGTTTGTTTAAGCAAGTTCTGCCAATGATATATACAGCATAACCTATGAAGTTCCATATCTTTATTATACGCATTAACCAGCTGTATCAGTAGCCCTAGTAGAAACGCCGTTGTGGAAAGAGTTTCGCTCGTTAGCCCGTTGGAGACTGCCCAGCCAACACAGGCTCATTTCTACCTACAAATTACATCTCCGGTGGACTCCTCACAATCGCTACCAAAGCTATGTGTGCACGTGCTTTTGTACACAAAGGATAATTGAACAAGGTGAAAACCATATAAAGTCCATAGTTTTTATATAGTGCTAATAGAAATATCGAATTCGAATCAAAAGTTTGATTCATTAAACACAAAGTAAATGTTAATTTTCAATGCAACAGAGAGCTTCCATATTTGATACGCCTTTTAAAAATTTTGCTTTTTAAACAAGATAAATTTATCTTGTTTAAAAAGCAAAATTTTGACGAGTATTTAAAAAAATCATAGCTCATAAAATATGAGTTTTAAAAATGAAATGCGATACCCTGGTACTAAATTTATCAACAATCCGGAGTAGTTGACTGGCAGCTACTTCTAGTAAACCTCGCCCAAGCAACAATAGCAATATCAAATCAGAGAAATTCCCTTCTTGTGGTTTATTGCTATATGACTAAACGTAAAAAGAAAGTTTTACCTTATCCTGAGTGAGTATGTAAGTATGAAAAGTTAAATCGGCTGTTAGGGTTGAAATTAGACCTGCATTAGCCTCTATTTAAAATCAAAATAAATTATTTAACATTTCACACCATTCACCAGTTGCTAAATAATTGCTAGGTGGCACATAATAGTGCTTCTTCACATACCCTTCTTTTGGATAAATTTGGGCAACTTCAACCTGATGGTACGCGATGAGTTCAGATGTACGTGAAGAGAATATCTGTAAACACCACGAAATATTACTCTTAGTCAAACGACAAGCGGGTCGAAGCTGGTGTTTCCCAACTGTCATACTGTTATAACAGTCTGTACCCCGTTAGAACATGAGTTAGCAATATTTCAATCCATAGTGGATAAATTGGTTTTAGCTCTGTAAAAGAGAGGTGAAGGGAGCAAAGAATCGCATTCTTCACTTTAGCTGTTCGAAAGGTAGTCTTAGATGGCCTTACAAGGTAATATTCGTTCCGTTATCTTACAAGCATCCGCCACGAATAGCATAAACATAATGTATCAGTATGAGCGCACTCGTTATTAAATCGCATTGGGGTCACACCGATCATCGCGTTTGTGTCTCGACTATTTCAAGACGTTGCTGGCAGTCCTTTTCAGCCTTCTGAAAAGGATTAAATATACAATCTCCAGCGCCATACGAAAACCCTTTACCGCACGCTATATCAAAATACACGCCTATGCGTAATAACCTCAAACCCGTACCTGTGTGGAAAAGTGGAGTAGACCCTCTTTAAATTTTAAATATTATTATACTGTGTGTGTTAATTGTGGCTAGCGTTCTATGTAGGGTTCGACAGTTTTTTGTGCAAATATCACTGTAATTGTTTTACTTGTCATAGACACCTATATTTAACCAATGAAAGCTCATTTATACCTACTTATACTCATTTAAACAACGTACTTCCCCCGACTTGCAAAATTGACAAGTGCCGCATTATCACAGCTGCAGTCGGTCATGATGCCATTATAGCGTCGATACAGCAATGCTACAGATGACATGAAGCAATTGTAACAACGTAACTCTTTTGCCTTAATAACAAAGTAACTGAATTAATCAATCGTGTACCAGGTATTTGTACATTATCAAAGCGAGTTGCACAACAGATGTTGACATTTTTTTTTTAAAGCTTCATTTGGCATGTTATTGAGATAGCGTAACAAACATGGCTGTATTACAGATATATTTATGATGAAAGCCCAAAGAGGTGATAAAACGCTTTCTTCAATGTCGGCAGCGAAAAATTGCGAGATTGTGGCTTGCGTCAACACAGCCAAGTGTGTCTATACAGCGGCCCAATGCATCTCAAGGCCGCCTTTCTTATTTATTTAGATTTAGCCTTTCTACGTGCGACTCATTGCATTTCATAAGACGAAAAAAGCACTGCAATGCTACACGATTATCTCGCGACTGCAGGTCCTTACTGCTTCTGGCCATCGCTACAGACGAAAAGTTTCACCTACTGTACGAAAAATACCTGACTGTGGGACTTCCTTATAAAGAACGTCGTCCTATTGTGATATCGATATTCTTGATATTAGCTCACTAACTGTGGGTTGAACTATAACGGTTGGTGTTCGCACAGGAACATATCAACGATCTCTGTTTCAGGAGCAAAAGTATTGAGATTATTAATTTTTAGGTATTTGTTAGCTAGATGTTAACAAAAATGTGTACGATTGACTTGACTGACCAAAGATTTAGATATAATCGCCTCTGTATAAGAGCATAGTCGTACTTCGTAAATGGCATACAACACTCGTGCATTCACTTTGCTCATGAAGGTTCTTAGCTTGTTTGAAACACAAAGTTTACTTTTAAACAAAAATCGACTGAAAAAAATCCACAGTACGTTAATTGTACTCCTTTAATTATACTCGTCAATCATTTATAACAAATATGTTGAGAGCCTCTTTCAATGGTCTAGATGCAAGCTGCACCCTGCGCTGCAGTAATCCGGATTGTATCCTAGGTGGTCATTAACAATGACAGTACAATGGTAACAATGACAGCACATAATATATACTATAGCCACATCCAGCATATTTTGCTACCTAATACCTTGGCTGACCTCTTAATATGACATGCTTATCTTCAGCGTTCGATATTAGGCAGCAGCAGGTCTGACTGCAATGTCAATAGCCCCACTGGGTATCAAACACAACAGGCTTTCTTGATAAAATGCTATCGTAGTCGTTGTTACTAGCAGCAGAAACATTGATTCGCGATAGATGTTTGCACACAATGCATCCGAGTATGATCGGAGAACCCTATAAGTAACAATTTTGAGAGCGTTGACATACCGTCTACACTACAGTTGGACGGGACGGAAAATGACATCTGCGTTTTTACGAAAATAGAACATATTTGTTCCATTACCCCGAAAAACTGGCTGGGGTGACAACCTTGAAATTGTAATAGGAACATACGCATCATAATTATGCTATAGACATGTGAAATGCTTTACGTTGAGTACAAAGGCACCGGCTTTGTATCCGAAAAAAAGCTGATTCATATGAAACAAGAGAATGAGGCACATCATCATCGTCGCATGCTCTGTTAATTCTAACCATATACCATACAGATAGGCTATTATGAAAAAATGCACGCTGCACATACGCTTTTCGTACGGAATAACTCATTACCCCACCAGTTATGAGTTTTGACGACAGCTAAACCACAAAACATAATTTTGTACTTGATGAAAGAAACCTCGAAGTTTTCGCTCAGCAACTAACCAGCAATTATTCGAATCGATTTATGGTAATTCAGATTGATTAAGGTTAGAGATAAGCAATTAAATTCGTTGTTTACGTGACTGAGAGGGTGCAGACCGTGAATTTATGACGAAAATATGAAATACCAAAGAAACACAGAACATAATAGCGCTAATATATGTATGATTAAATAAATTATGATTTATGTATCATATGCAGTCAACAATAATACAAATAAAAATACACTTACCAGAAATCTGGTGCTCGATGTTCCCTGATCTATAGCACCAATAAGCGGCCCATATTTATCTCCACCCTTCCGCGAAACATTGGGGTTTGTCATGACGGCGGGTGGCATCACTCACACGTATTCACACCTTTGATCGAAGGTTTAAGAAAGGGTGTATTTAGAGACAACTAAGGACTATTCCTTTAGGTCACTTTTTGTCTTTGACTTTACAGAGCTAAACCTTACCGGCGCTTCAATCACGCACTCAATCACGATTCCGGGCTGAAAGTTTTTTTATAAATAAAGATTTGACATAGTTATTACATATCCTGTTTAAAAGATCTATTTATGCTTTGATTGCGTTCACCAGGATTGTACAAAATATCACGCCAGTGAAAATAATGATGGTGGTTGAATCGAGCGACAATGCAATCATATGATGGTAGATAGCTTTTCAATAGGCTTTTTTTTTGGCACAGAAAAAACTACCATGATCACCGCAAACGGACCACGTGGCTAATATGGATTACGAGATTCTTCCTTCGATAAAAATACTTTTTTAGACTAGTTCTGCTTATATTTCAAGGTTACATGAAAGCACTCATCAAATAAGTTAAGTGGCTTTTGTTGAGGAAGCTGATTATTTTCTCTACAAAAAGCTGTGCATTCCGTGTGTCGTGGATCTTAAACGGAATAATTTCTTATAGTTCACGGCTTCAGCTTTAGTTTACTTAGGAATATCAGGATATGTTGCGGAACAGACGCTTAGGAACTTTTCCTAGATGCTGTAAACGCCATGCATAGCAGTTCGCTACGATGTCAAGCACAAGTCAAAGGCTGTTTGATCGTATCAAAGAACGGGTGCGAATGACGTGAAGCTTTGGCGGCACATACCAGAAAGCCTCACCAATACAAGCTTTGTACAGCCTGTACACGATGTGTGGTTCCTTTCTCGATAAACAGTAGACTAAAGAGTATAGGCTGTTCGCGGTATCGACTGGCCTCCTGGATAGTTCATCGTAACGTAATTGTTATAAAATTAAAAAAAAATTTCAACGATTAAAGCCCAGGCGAGTAACATTATTGCGAAGCCTCGGTAGACAAGTGACTATTCGGCTCTCGCGCTAAACAACTAAATCAACAATAACATCGTCGCGCAGAGCTTCTAAGATAAATTGAATTTCACCGATTAGAAGACGTACCACTGCAGGTGGTATCAATCTACGCTAATTAGGCGATTGTACAAAGAACTCCCATTTCGGTTATTCTATTGTACAAATCACGTGCGTTCTCAATGTCGTGCCCGAAATAACCCGTATTTTTTTTCTTCATACTCATATTATTTTAACAAACATACATTTGACCAAACACAAGTATTTTCCAATTATTGATTATTATATTAGTCATTGGCAGACCTAGCACCGTCTTACCTATTTCTGTAATCTAATGTGTTACACAGTTTAGGGAAAAAAATCCATTCTTTAAAGCCAACTAATCATAATGCATGCATATGGGTAGCAAACAATTAAATAAAAGGTACACAACTACTAGGTTTAGGCTAATGCCATAGTGACCACACAGAAAGGATTTTATGTGCAATAACTTAATACCTTGCGCTTCAAAATAAACATGTTACGGATATTGCTTATGAATTAATTTCAATTATTTTGTATTATGGACTGAATCACCAATGTCAGCTTGTCGTATAACTACCGTAATTGCTTTAATGTAGAGTAGAGCTAACCAAATCATAAATCAGGATCAACAGCAAACTACTGCACTATCTACTAGCATTTACACTTAGTCGTGTACAACTTATTAAGCTGCGCGTATTCTGCAAGGTCACCAACACAGCACAGGCAAGGATGGGGCAAAAATCCTGAGGGATGGCAACAGTTGACTAATCGTGCAAATTGGTCCTGGTTCTTTTAATCTTGTTGTTTTGCGACGAGTCACCTCAAATGTTTACTCTGCGAAGCTTTCTTCTTTTCGATACAGTAGTACGGCATGGCGTTATACACTAGATGGGATACTATGCGTTATCTGACTACCCCGATTAGGCTCGTTGGTGCCGGCGATCGCAACGAAAATTGAAAAACGACCACTATTTAAATGGAGCGTTACTTCAATTTCCTCGAACGGTTAGAACGATCGCTGATTTCGCGACTGGCAACGGACAGACCTGCGAGCATTCAATAGGGAGCAACGACTCTGTGTACTTACATCTAGCAAGATCGTTTGGAATACGATACACCGAACTGCCCACAATACACCGAAGGAGAGAGGACTCGAATTCTCCCCTCGCCCGTTACTTCGACTCAAATACAGCTATATCAGCGGCGAACGATTGACCCGTCCGTTGTTTGAATCAACATACATAAACAAAGATCACAGTTTTCTGGCACACCCTTGCCGCTGTCGTTATCATCAACAACAACAATATTGTGTGTTACTCAGGGAGAAGACACTGTCGTCTGCTACGGTCCGAACACTTAACAAGTAATATTAGTTGATATGCGCGAATAGCCGGTGGAGTTCATTCTGTCTAAATGGTTAGTACCAGTTTGTTGTCAGGTGACGTGGATTCTGTATTTAGACACAAGCTCAGTGGGAAGAAAAATGCTAGATCATGTTCCATGAAGTCGTGATATTTATATATTAAACGTTTTGGCATGTTGAATGGTTATTACAGCGGAAGTTATTGCACAGACCTGCCTCACCAGAAATATATACATATATTGTTTGTTTACCGTATACATAAATCATACTGGAGATTTTAATAATATAGTTTATTTA